AAGCAAAATAATAATTTTAATTACAGCAAGGGCTTTTGGGCCTTTCTCTGCTCCTCCCTGCCCCTGCTCACTGCCCAGCACAGTCTTGTTCCAGGCTGTGTAATGGGACAGGGCAGTGATGGTCCCCTCCCCTCCCTCTCCCACTTCCCCGCCAAATACTTTTCTGCACAATTAAGAAAAAAATATCATTTCAAGTAGAACACAATATTAAGTATGGAAATGGTAACCAGCAGCTTGTGAAGGCTCAATCCCGAAGGCTGCTCCCCGAGCAGAAGGGACTGCTGCTGATGGCTAGAGCCTGCCTCCCAATTAGAACAAACTGGTAAATCAGGGCTGAGTTCAGGAGATGCAACACCTGCAACTGGACTGTGGTGGCCTCACTGATGCTGTGTGCCACCCAGAAACTTTTCATTCTATTTTTAAACCCCTGTCCCACAGTCCTGGCCTCTTACTGGTGCTTGCTTCAATTCAAGACAAGATTAGCACATTCCTGAGGTGGATGGTTGTGGTTACAAATGCCATTGGAAAACAGAGCTTTGTTATAACTATCAAGTTACAGATACTTTTTTTTGTGGCCCAACTGTCATCTGGTGAATGGCTGGGGTGCTGAACAGCAGCCTCTGGCCTAGAGACTAGCTGGGGTCAGCTTTCTGCTGGAAGATCACGGAATCATGGAATGGTCTGGAAGGGACCTTAAAGCCATATAGTCAAATCACCTACCACAGACAGGGACACCTTTCACTAGACCAGGTGGCTCCAAGCCCCATCCAACCTGGCCTTGAGCACTTCCAGGGATGGGGGGATGTGACCCCGAGATGTAACACACATTACTTTATAAATCACTCAGTGTATTAAATGTAACAGGAAGAATGAGGTGGGGAGACCACCAAAGGAGAGAAAACCCCACTGGAAACTTTCCGAGTGAACATTCAGCAAATAAACCAACAATTAAGTGATCTTTCTGCCAGCACCTGAGAACTGCTAATGCTCCAGGGCCACATCTACAATCTATAGTATTTCAATCCTGCCAGGGATGGCGTCCCCACCACTGCCCCAGGCAGCCTGTTAAAGGGAAATGGAAAGCTGTACGGAAACCCCAGGTCTCCTGCTTGAAACTGGAATATGAAAGCCCAGCAGACACCCAGTGGGAACATCTACCCTGATCTCACCATCACACCAGGTACCACAACACCAACACAGGAGCTTGGCTCCACTTTGCTTGCTGACTTCACCTAAGAGCATTGAACCGCAACAATTCAACAAGACTGAGTTCCCTACAGATCTAGTCAAATGGAAAAAAAGATGAGGAGAAGCAGATTGGACTTGTCAGAAACTGAGGCATGGCCACAACAGCCTGACACAGGCTTGGCAATAGATCTCTTCTGATCTAAAAGCCAAACCCTGAGACTCCCAGAAACATGGTACACTGGGGTAGGGTGAGGAGGGTGAAAAGAGGGCAAGCAGGAGGTGAAGTGCAAGGGATGCATCCAAGAGGAGAACAAACCCTGAAGGTCAGAGTAGCAAGCACATGAGCAGCTAACTAATGTACTAGAGCAGCACCACGGGGCACAGACACAGGCACACACGTCCTCGCAAACTGGAAAGCCATAAAAGTCTATTACACCAAATCAAACAGCAGTCAGCATGACAGCCATTAGCCTGAAATGAATACATGAGAACTTAATGAGCTCTGTCGAGGCCAGCTTGGTGGATTAAGTTGCCAATTCTAGCAGGATTCCCCTTTTCTTCACAGACTTGGGAGCGTCTGCACTGCCTCGTTGCCTTTTGACAAGCAAATCACAGGGCACCCTTGCCCAGACAGGACGGACGATTACGCTGGAGCAATATCCCTCTCCCGACACATGGCTCTCCCTCAGCCATTCCAGGCAGGTGCCAGGGCTGCGATTAAGACACAGCAAGCGCAGAGGACCAGTGGCATCAGCCCCACACATGAGCAACCCCTGGTCTGGGTATTCGGAGCCACTGTGGCACAGAGGAGTCTGCAGTTAAACTGGACATCCTCTTCCCCTCCCCACGCCAGAGAGGAACCACAACCCGCAGCCCATGCCCAAATAAATTCCCATTCTCGCACCAGGCAGACTGTGTATAACACCAGGATGGGTACTTAGAGGCAGTATTGTTTTTAAAGGTCAGTTTACTTCATGTTCCATTTATTTATGCACACTCTTCTTTTGACTTTCCGAGCGCCACACAATAGCGGTGAGGTTTAAATAGCCTTTCTGTTGCTGCTCCATTAGCTACGACAACTGCAAATCGATACATCCATTTATCTCAAAATTAAAAAGAGAAAAACCCTCATTAGCTGCCAATTCTGCACAGAGCCAGTCTATTCAAAGCCACACTAGCCTCTTCTCCATCTCCAAGCTCCAGCCCCATTTTATTCACTATCCATAGGCCCTTTGATTTGGGCTAGGTGCTCTGATGCAGTTACTGGTACTCACACCCTTGCTGCTCACCACCCTCAAGCTGTCTGGAGCATGGGGGTGACCTGGGGATACTGTTATCCCCTACCAGAGCTGATTCCCCAGCCTCAGCTGCTCCCCAGACGTCCCCTGGCACATCTCCATACCACATCACCTCCAGCTTCGAGTGCTTATGGACAAGGAGCAGATAAAACCTGTGGCTCAGCACAGGTCTCAAAGCCAAGTAGACATCTCCTTGAAAGCTGTGCCACCACACACAGAGGAAGTTTATCACTGACATTTCCTGTGGGCTGTAGCCCTTGGAGGGTCCTCTATAGGTGGGGGTCTCCATCCCTTGCTCTCACAGAGCTTGGCAAGGCAAGGCTCCCATCCCAGCAGAACAGAAGTACCTCCAGGATGCTGGTGGAGCAACGCACTTGTGGCTCATTACCTCTGTTTGGTGGCCTTGGTTAAAGATCACGGAGAGAAACAGGAGATTGGCACACGTCACTTTATAATTAGCTTAGGCCAACCTCCAGAAGGGACAGAGCTCCAAAGGCTAAGGGCACAGTGGCTGCATGGGGGGAAGAGCCAGGTTTGCTGTACCCCAAACTGCCAGAGAATTCTGAAAATCCCTCCCGGCAGAAGCACATCTCACCTGCCAGGCAGTCGGATGTGCCAAAGGTGTGTTCCAAGGCTCAGACTCCTCTTTTACTTATTATTTTGTCTGGATCACCTGTCTGCAGTTCCCTCTCCTCAGCTAGGCCTAATTTTCTACATACATAGTGGTAGGACACAGGGTACTAGCTTTAAACTGAAAGAGAATAGGTTTAGATTGGCTATTAGGAAGAAATGCTTCCCTGTGGGGGTGATGAGGCACTGGTAGAGGTTGCCCAGAGAAGCTGTGGCTGCCCCATCCCTCAAAGTGTTCCAGGCCAGGTTGGATGGAGCTTGGGAGTAAGTAACCTGGGCTAGTGGAAGGTGTCCCTGCCCATGGCAGGGGGTGGAACTGGGTGATCCCTAAGGTCCCTTCCAGCCCAAACCATTCTAGGATTCTATGACTGCAAGTACCAGGGATGAACACAGGGGAGTTACAGAAACCCATTTCCATCTCTTTTCACAGGTGGAAGGGAGTCCAATGTAGCAGATAAACAGCAAAACCAGAGACAAATCTGAGGGCAGGGGAGAAGAGTCTGTTCTCCTCCAGTCCTACTGACCTTCCTTTTGCTTTGCAGACCTCTGCAGGCAGACCATCATCAAGGCAAGACCCCACCCGCCAGCTCCCAGAAGTCCGAGTGGAATGGGAGAGCGAGGGGCACCTCGTGCTGATTTTGCCAAGTCATTTCTCCACTGCTCGTGCTTTAAAGAGCAGAAGAAATGACTCTGACCCAGTGTCATTCTCACAGGGAGGTTTCAGATGACTTGGTGCAAAGATGAGACTAAAACTCCCAGCTCATACATCACAAGCAACTCTAATGAAGAAACCTCATCCTCGCAGAGAGGGACAGAGAGAGATCAAAGCCCAGCACGGCGGGGCAGCAGCAGGCAGCATATTAAATACACCATGGTAACACAATCCTCTGTACCTCTCAATTACCGAAGCTGCTTGATTTCACACACACACACAACGCACACTTGACCTCATCCACACCCCAAGGCTCCATCTGGGAATAACAGCTCTGCCCTGGCACCAGGGTGCAAGAGGGAGGGGTTTCCTCCACTGGAGGATGTCAAATGCCCTGCTAATCCCCTATTTCAAACAGAATCCCCTGACCTTCTCCTCCTAGCACCAGCAAGCACATCTTTAAAGCCTAAATTCACATCAGATCAGTAAGTTCCTGGTGTATGTCTGCCAAGCCGAGCTGCAGGTTGCAGAAGCTCTCCCTGATGGATGAGTAGATGTCACCTCCCTTACAATGGACAGCACAGAGAGCAGCAGAAGGTTGTGGAAACTCTGTCCTTGGGGATATTCAACACTTGGGGCCTTGAGCGATCTGATCTAACATGAAAATTCTTTCTGGTTTACTGAGATCTTCAGCCAGATGATCTCCTGTGGTCCCTTCCTACCTATTTTATATTGGGGACATCATGGGACAAGTACTGCTCTGGAGCTGTTAAAGGAAATTACTAGCCAGGGTAGAAGCCTTTGGGCACTACTCTGCCAGAATTCAGGCACTGGAGCAGTAGTTATTCCTGCCTCAGGTCACCTCTGTGACAAGAGCTGCACATCTTCCCAGCTCAGAGGCAGAGAAAAAGACACAAATTCTCATTTACACCTATTTTCAAACCTCACATTTGTTATGGGCAAGATGTCACCAAGGCTGCAAAGCTCCAAACCCTGTCCTCCACCTGCCTTCCCCCAACACCCAAAACACCATCACTTTGCTTCTGTCTGTTTTCAGGCAACAGTAACTTCCAGAGGGTTAATCCTCCCCCAGCTCCATGACAGTCCAGGGTAGGAGGACAGCCCTGTACATCAGTAGCCCTCACGCAGCCAGCTCTGTGGTGGCAACCAGACAGCAAGAGTGGCCACTGAGGGAAGAGCCAGAATCATGGAGAGGCTGCAGCAATCCCTACCTCAGGGATGCGGACGCTGTAGGGCTGGTTGTGGAACTGTGGAGCATTGTCATTCACATCTCCAACTTGGATGTTCACTGTCCCTTTGATCACCTGTAGTACAAGGATAACGGCAGGGTGTCAGCTTTTTGCATGGATTTAAAGCCTAAAGCAAGCTTGTGGCTTTGGGCCAAAGGGTAACCCCACTCTCCAGACCCCCAGGCAATGCAGAAGGTCCCCTGGTGACCCACACTTGTCCTCTCTGGTCCCCTCTGTGCCACAGACCATGAAATAAGAAGTCACACTTACCCCTTGGTTGTCACTGACAGAAAATTCAACCGTGAATTCTGACTTAGTCTGAAAGGAAAGGAGAAGAAAAAACATAATTAAAGATACTGCAGCGTTTATCTGCAGATGGCAGGCTTGGGACTTTTAGCCAATATCATTACATGCAAAATGCTTTCAGGACCTTCCAGAAGAGAAGAGGCACTTGAGTGCCATTACCTACATTGGGTAGAAAATGCTGAGGGATCTGAATGCCAGCAGGGCTCCTGTGTATGTCACAGGCACGGGGAGATGTTCTGCCCTGGGTCTGGAGGATGCAGGGAACTAAGGAATCTACTCCCTGACCAGCAGCTGAGCACTTAAACAGACAACCAGGCTCAAACAGAAGAGAGAAGCTCATTGTTCAACCTTCTGCAGCATTCCAGCAAGCCCCAGCCCTCTCTGCACATCTGCCCAGTACTCAATGTTGCTGGCTGACTGCTTATAGCAGTGAGAAAGTGCAAGGTAGAGAAAAGCAGTTTTCCACCCAGGGTGTACTGTGACCTGGCACCATCTCCACCTGCAACATACAGGGATGATGCAAAAAGAGAAGAAAGTCCAAACAAAAAGCTCTGTAATTAGCTTTTGTTCAGGATGTCAGCACAACACAGTCTCAGTGAGGACAATGTTGCTGCTGCATTCCCAACTTGCCTATCATAGAATCTCAGAATTTTAGGGGTTGGAATGGACCTTACAGATCATCTAGTCCCAACCCTCCCTGCCATGGGCAGGGACACCTTCCCACTAGACCAGGTTGCTCAAGGCCTCATCCAGCCTGGCTTTGAACACCACCAGGTTGCCTATCACATAGTTGGTCTACAGTAAGAACTGGCTGAAATCCCATGAAAATGCACCTTATTGCTTCAACTCGATTAACAGCTTGGCCTTAAATGGGGGTACGTTAAAGACACTGGCGCTGGGGTGAGGAAGAAGTGGGGAAGGGGACCTTTTTGGTGTCAGGGCAGAGAGATACTGCTAGTGGATGCAACCCTTTTCTCCCTAACCTTTCCTTCCCACCAGCACTTGTTTTGCCCACGTTTTACCAAGGAATCATGCAGGGGTAGACGCCAGGACTCAGGCCACCCATGGCACCAGCTGGTGTTGTTTCCCCTCCAGCCCCAGAAATCCCTTCCTCCTCCAGCATTCCTTCCCATCTCTGGTGTCCCTGCCCTGCCTGAGCTGCTGGAGCACAGAAACTTGATGTTTCCAAAGCATGACACAGGAAAGGCTGGAAAGCAAGCTTGAAATGGCTCTCTGTGCTGCAGCTCTGGTTGATTTACTCCTAATGGGATCGGCTCAGGGACAGGCAGCCATGCCAGGGTCCAGAGCAGAAGCTCTGTCATCAGGGTAGCAGTTCATCCTGGAGAAGAGTTTGGGGAACACCTCCCCTCCTGCCCCCACCTCTGACCCCCTCCATCCAAACAGCCAGGGAATTCAACCTGAGAAAGCCTTTTCTAGCTTCTGCCTCAGGGCAGTATTTGCAGGTATAAGGAAGAGCTGAAATCCCGATGGAGAGGAGATCCTCTGCTCCCGGTGACATCCCACCCTGCTGCATCAGCACCTTTCACCCCTCTTTCTCCCTACTCATCCATAAAGGACAACACAATAGGGAAGAAAGGAAATACAGGAGGTAAGAAACAACCTGTTGAGCATTTAAAATTTAAAAACTCAATAAATAATCAGAAGAAGCTGCCACATACTAACTTCTCTTTCTAAAATTACTTTAACACAGAATTCTTTAGCCTCAGGGTTTGTCTTTCTTTCTAAAATATCTTTTTCTTCTAATCAGTGTAGGAGCAAAAAGAAAAATATTTTAAAATTAATTTTGCCTCTCTGCATTCACCCCTTCCTCTTTTTCTCTCTTTCCCCTTTTCCTGCATCATTTACCTTACTATGAGTCGTCTCCCTTTCCTAGCCTCTTTTTTTCTCCTCCACTGTACAAGAATTGATCCCTTGTCCTTCCTCACCACTTCTCTTGCATGGCTTTCTCTCCTGACTGTTTGACCACATGCATCCAGGCCAGTGTCCTCTGCTCCCAGCCTGCTGCCCAACCTTCCTCCCACACCATCCTGCTTCCTCCACCATAAAGTGACATTTATACTTTTCTCATATCCATACCCAGCCATGAACTGCCCTGTCTTCACTGTCTTCCATGTACAGCTAGCTTTGAGCCCCTGGGATCAACTGATGGGTGCAGGTTCCTCTCCCACTTGAGCACATTCATGCATCCAAGCTCTGCTCAGCTCCTTACCTCCACACCCTCCACCAAAAGACACCTAAACCCTATTAATCACCCCCCTTGGCTTAAGGCTGGCAGCACAAGTATCAGACAGCAGGAGGCATTTGAATGAGGAAGGATTTATGACTCATGCCAGCAGCTGTTGGCACAGGGAGGCAGAGGGGAGAGGGGTGAACAAAAACACTTCATTTTTCCAAAGCCTCACTCTTAGCACTGTAAAACTGGGTTTGCCTTGCTCCCCAGCCTGAGCAGCATCCACCACCCTACTCCTCCACATCCACACACCTGGCTGGCTCCAGCCAGGACCGCCAGTGCCCGAGGTGTGCGAATGGATTTGATCTCCATGATGCTGCTGGCCAAAGAGGCGCTGAACACAGGCAGCAGAAGCACAGGGGAAATTCAGCACGTTGCCTGTGTCATGGAGTATTTTCCCAGTCCTCCCAAGCTCCTGCCCAAGCACCTGTGCTATCCCTTACTCCTCACTCCAGGAATGCAGCAAGGGTCAGGGTTTTAGTAAAGCAGCACCTGGATGGGATTCCATCCTTGCACACCAAAGCTGCCATTGAAAATAGGGGTGTGAAACAGCTTCGAGGCAAGAATCCTGCCAAATTTAGCATCCAGCAGCCTGAATCCACAAGAGGATGAAAAGTCTTGATGAGATTGAATAAGCAGGGATACCTCACATCTCTTCACACACTGTTCTAAATAGTAAAGGATGTAATTGGAATAGAGATTTAAAGAGGAAGCCTGTAGATTTCCCTGGCTGTATGAGCATCCTGACTCGGTACATCATTTCCATTCATTATTTCCTGTACTTTCAGACTCAGAGATATTATATTCTAGCAACCCGAAAATCCTACAAGTTACACCAAACCAGTGCACCCTGCTCATTCCCTGTGTCCCTCCTGAGTTGGGACAGTGACAGGGACAGATCCTGATGTGGACACGCCTGGATTCCCAGCTCTGCATGGGAACAACACCCATCTCGGCTGTCACAGAAGGTGAAGAGCCACGGTTTCTGTTATCTTGGATGGTTTTACCTCCCCTCAGCAGGATGCTCTCAGTAGCAAGTGGCATTACCTCTCTGTCCAAGGGCTGCCTGAGCCACACCACACCAGTGAGGCTCTCCACGGCGAAGTACCTGCTGGCCTCCTCCCCGACCACGCCGTACACCAGCGGATCATCGTCCAGGTCCCGGGCCAGCAGCTGAGTCACTGAGGAACCTGGGAGAGACAGAGAAGAAGAAACCCTGAAAACATCCAGCTTATCAGAGAAAACAGGTCTGAGGAAGACCTGAAATCAACCCTAAACACTTTTCCTGTGATTCTACAGTGCTGTGCACGATCTGACTGTTCTCTCTGGCATGGATGAACTGAGCCACAGATCCTCTCACTTATCAAAAGAGAAAGTCACCTTAGTTCAGCCCAGCCATGGTCATCTCTGGCACTAGAGAGAGCTGAGGAACCCACGCCTGGTCTGGGTAAGCACTGACCAACTTCCACACCAGCCTCCCTCATACTCTTCCCCACTGAGAGGCACCACCAGGAGACACAGCAACAAAAACAAGGGACAGCCACCACCCTCGGAGCTTCATTTCAGCCCCACAAGAACCAATTTGAATCATTTTAGGCCTCTCCATGACACCTCTGAGCATATTCAAAGTCTGCCATGGCTGGTTGACCAGGGGTGGCTGCCCGTTTCCCATCCAGATGCACTGCATGCCCTCCCTCAGCAGGATGGGAATGAAAATAGGAGGAAAAAAGCTGGTGGCTGGAGAAAAGGGTGGGAGGTCTCCTTGTCTGCCTGGCCTTGAGAATGAGGGAATAAGGATGGGAGATCCCCTTGGCCCCATGGCCTTCAGGATGGGGGGAAATATTCTGTGTGAGCCACCTTGGGCAGTACAAGAGCTCTCCATGCCCCCAGATCATCTGGCCAATGAGAACAGATGCCCAAATTTCATTCATCTGAGAAGAGGAGGGAAGCTCCAGCAGACCAGAGGGCAAAAGCAGCAGCACAGTTTTGAGAGCAGAGTGAGCTGGGCAATTACCAACAGATTGGCCCAACATCAATCATGGCAGAAATAATGGGAAAAGCTGATATGAGATTCCATTAACAAAGAATTAAATGATAGGAACATAATTAATGCCAGTCAACACATTTTTTGGAAAATAGACCTTGTCAAACAAACCTGATTTTATTCTTTGATGAGATTACCATTTTGTCAGATAAAGGTAACTGTGAGGAAATAATAGACTCTGTAAGGCATTTGACTTTGCACTGTGTGACTTTCTGATTAAAGATTCAGTGCCCCATGACTTCAATGAAGCACACCTGAGTGAGACCAAGCTGCCTGGCAGGGCCCAAGGCCACTGACTGCACTGGGAACATCACAGAGTGATATGAAATTGCTGTTGGCACAAGCTTGGGTGGCAGCATGGCAAGTAATGGGAAGAACCAAGCAGCCAGGGGAATTTGGGCTGCTTTGGTAAGAATTTGGTTTTATGACCCTGCCCCAAACACCCTCAAGAAAGGCTGGTGGACCACAGCTGCACAAGAGAGCTTCCCAAAGACAACCATTCTAGTAGGTGTGGA